ATTTCACAAATGACTACTTTTATAAACCATGATTTCAGTTTGTTTATTGTAATTTACAATTATTTACCCTACCAGTGATTGCTCAGATCCTTTATTTTTGCTACTCGAGTTTCCCCTGTTATAGCATCAGGATTTCAAATATGTATTAAAAATTATCAAGGTTGCTGGCCGGGTTCAGTGGCTCACATCTATAATCCTAGCACTCTGGAAAGTCAAGGTAAGAGGATAGGGAGGCTTAAGCTCAGGACTTCAAGACCAGCCTGAGTAAGAGCTCTAAAAATAATAGAAAACTTATTTGGGCATGGTGGAATGTGCCTGTAGTCCCAGCTACTTGGGAGGCTGAGGCAGGAGGATCATTTTAACCCAGGAGCTTCAGGTTGTAGGAAACTGTGATGACCCCACTGCTCTCTACCTGAGCAAAAGAGCAAGACTCTGTCTCATCAAAAAAAAAAAGAAAGAAAGAAAAGAGGGCGGCACCTGTGGCTCAGTGAGTAGGGTGCCAGCCCAACATACCGAGGGTGGTGGATTCAAACCCGGCCCTGGCCAAACTGCAACAAAAAAATAGCCAGGTGTTTTGGTGGGCACCTGTATTCCCAGCTATTTGGGAGGCTGAGGCAAGAGAATCACCTAAGCCCAAGAGCTGGAGATTGCTGTGAGCTGTGATACCACAGCACTCTACTGAGGGCAACAAAGTGAGACTCTATCTCTAAAAAAAAAGAGAAAGAAAAGGAAAAGTCAAGGTTGCTTAGGATGAGGTTGGACTAAAGCAGTCCTTGGACAGTTTTAGCAAGCACGGTAGCAGCTTTGTTTGCCCTGTTACTTCTATAAAAGGGGGCAAGAAAATGTAAGAGCACGGATGGCAGAGCCAGATCCAAGTTTGAATTCTCGTGTCACAGTTTACTGCGAGGGCTTGGGCAAGTTACTTACCTTTTCTGCTTTTGATTCCTATAAAGTGGGGGATGACAAAGCAAAGTACATGAAGCTCCCTGTGTGGTCAGCTTTCCTAGGTTATTATATTTTTAGCCCGAACCATAGCATGTTGAAGATGGCCTGGCTCTGTGTGGCTTTCTAAAAGTGACTAATATCACTCATTTTTTTGATTCTTTCACTTTCAACTTTTAAGATGAAGATATTTTCATCTGTCTCTAAATCTGGTAGTACAGTCTCTATGACCACCAGTGCACTTATAAAAAAGCTGGGGGTCGGGAGATTGTGTTAACTTTAGAGATTGTGTTATAAGCAGGCTATGTATTTTTCTACTTAGGTTCCAGCACCAGAACAAGTTGAAAAAAGTGGTGTGAGCAATATAACAGAAGCCAGACTCATAGTTTTCCTGACCTCAGTTTTTATTAAGGTAATTAAAAATTTTCAAGGCTGATAAATATTAAGGTGCAGAGTAGTAGAATATTAGACTGTAAGACACTTATGATCAGGCGTTAACTTTTGTTTATTAAGATAAGGGGACTAAAGGCTGATTGGTTTATTTTGAGAAAATCCA